CAGTAGCCTGGCTGTCATAAGCTTTGCAAAAGTTTCTTAATAGGGTGAAGTGGGGTAAGTGTACGCACGGGGCAAGTGGACGCGCTGGCTATAAATAAGCCATAATTGGGGAAAAAAAAATTTAAATTTATAATTTTTTATGGTTTGAAATGTGATCTTTCAGATTCTGAAGTTAGAAAACAACATTTATGACTATTTATACGTTAAAACTAAGTTTTAAAATACCTCTGCATTTCTACTTACTACGAAAGTACCGCCTTGAAATTTTGAAAAATTCCCTAAACTCAACGGATAGCCATAGAAATTTGAAAATTGGTACACTGATGCAGTTTTTGAAGAGGAATCCAAAAATGTCATTTTTATATTACTAAAATTTATAATTACAAAAATGGGGGGGGCGTACACTTGCCCTGGGTGTAACAGTGGTTGGGGCAAGTGTACTCCCAGCCCCGGGGTAAGTGTACCTAGGGGTTTTCAATGGTGTGACAACATACAATTAGTTATCAGGTTAAGACAAGTTTTCCTATTTCTTAAGTTATTTTCCTGGTTGATTTCACCTTTGGACCTTATACCTGAACTGTCTTTTGTTTACTCAAACCCAAAAGAAGATTTTTCATTCATTCCCAATGACGACATACTGAAGGTTTTGCCTGAACCTACACCAGGCAGACGGGGGGAGCTGATTTTCGACGCTTCCCTCTTTAGTGTCCATGTTCAGTAAAAAAAACCTGTAAATATGTAAATAAATATAATTATAAGGGTGTGTGAACTAGGTACTAAGTCAATTAACAGTTTTATTTTAGTTATGTAGACTAGTACGCACTTACAGTGAATACAGTGAAAAACAGTGAATTGCCATGCACTTTCCCCACAAGGTAAGATTTATCTAAGTCAATAAAAAATTATATTTTTAGATAATAACTAACCTGCCATTATTTGTGTGATGTCAAAGAAGTTTTTTACAGCATTTGATTAATTAATAAAAATATATTAACAAGTTTATATTAATAATTGTAAATTTACAAATTTGCCATTTTGCGGAAATTGTACGCGGAGTTCCACGAAAAAGTTCATAACTCCTGAACGGTTTGAGATATTTTTACAAATAAAAAACCATTTTAATCAGCAGATTCTAAGCTATAATCCACTTGCCCCAGATTGCATCTAAAGCAAGTTATATGGAATATAGGTGGGGGGCGTACACTTACCCCGATTTTAGGGGCAAGTGTACGCACGGGACATCACTTTACAAAAAAAAGTATATAAAAAAAAGTATGATGATTTAAGATTTGAAAAAAATCATACTTATAGACCACATTCCAAGCTTTCTGCTCACCAAATTTCATTAAGATATCTTAAATACAATTGAAGTTATAGCAAGTTAAAGTGCAACTAGTGATTTTCGTGCGTACACTTACCCCACTTCACCCTATATAAGATTTGGCCAAAATTGTTGTTACTGATTTCAAGTAGGTAGTGAAACTTTTTATTATGAGTAATATAAATATATCTGTGAAAATGTAGAAACTGATGATAGTATTTACTCTATCAATATATAGGATATATGGTTAGGGATTCATATGCATGAGAAATGGTGCTTAAATTTAAGTTCTCATGTAAAGACTTATGCAAATACATTAGGGTGGACTAAAAGGGGTAGTTTAAAAATATATTCTCAAAAATACAAACATAATCTTTATCCAAACCCTTAGCTGTGACTAGTAGCATCTGAGAACAGACTAATAATTTGTTTAACAAGAACTTTTTTCTCAGCTCGTGTGCATCGCAGGGAAAATCTACTCATACTGTTAAAAGATATTTTACTGTATATGTGCAGAATACCTTACAAAACTAAAATAGGTTCAAAAATAAGCACAAAATGAATTTAAAATTTTAAAAAATTAACATAGGCTTTATGGGTTGCCATGATGGTGACGAAATAACAACGAAATATAAGCATAGAATCAAAACAAATGTAAGAAATTACGATCACATGTTTTATTTTTGCAGTGTGGGATGAACATAGAGAAGCATGTACCTTTGACTTTTAGCATCCAATAGTCAATGCTTACAACTAGACATTCCATTCTCTATTCTTCTTCACTCAACGTAATTAAAGTTGTTGTCAGTTTTTAATTAAATTCGTTGTAGTTGATGTGAGCCACCAACAGATTGCGCTGATCTAAATAACTATTTCTGTCGAATACACAATGTTTTTAACCAAGTCAAACTTCTGGAATGACTTATTATGAGATAAAGGAACTGTTATGATCCATCAACTTTTTCAGCAACAAACATCAAGGTATTTCTGTGACTGGCTCACACAACTACGTGTTTTAATAAAAAAAAATGCGATGGCTGGTCCATAGAAGGGATGTCTACTTCACTATACAATAGTCAATGAGTGGACATTACATATTCTTGGTCGAGTTTTCGACCACTGGACGACCACTAGTATTCATAAACAAGCAAACTATAACAGCTTACTTATTCTCTATAAGAAGAGAATAGGAATTTTGTATTTACAATTTTTGGAATTTTCTCCGTTACCAATAACCGTACGAAACCTTCAATATACTTTTTCCTGGATCTTGGTGAACCGTTCACCTTAGGAATTTAAGTTTCACATATTTTACTTACTTTAAATTTGATTTTTTTTACTCTTCGCTTACTTTGCAAACATTTTAAATACCAATAAGTATTTATTTCAAATATCAAGTATCTATCTTTAAACGCCATCCATTCATAAAAAATAACTGTTTCCACACTTATCCTAGTGATGACATGTGTTGTTCAGATATCCATGTTATAAATAAAATGATAGATTACCTTTAAATTATCTACAGTAATAGTGTTTATTAAATGGGTAACTTAAAATATAAAATAAAATTAAGATAAAACAACATAAAATATAATTATGGCTGATCAACGTGTATGGTATGCAAACATTTCAGAAATATTTAATTTTATTTCGACTTAAGCTTAATCTCAAGTTAAGTCTCTTAATCTTAAATTATGTAGTTAATAATTTGGTAAAACCGAATGGCACTTTAGTATTTAATAAGTTAATTTATTTTCAAAAACTGAACAGCAAAAATAACTTAGAATGCATATAGCCAACGATCGAGCTCAAGACCAACGTCGATACAACAACGCAACTTCTAACGACGTTGCTATAATATCCTAATTTATTATTCGTGCGAATTCGCACGGGTTCACCTAGTAGTTGTTAAATGCATAACTAATTTAAAACTGCACATAACAAACTGTATTTGTGACATGCAGTATGTTATGTTGGTAGTTTAGGCCGCACGGCGCTAGTAGGCAATAGTGATACAGTGCCGGCGCGTCCTAGGCAATATGAGTACATACAATATTATTGTACCCGCCTAGGCCTAGGCTTATTCAATATTTAATGTGGATATTCCAAAGATATGTCCTTAGTGTATACTTACTTAACAATACTGATTACTACTGAGTCTGGTACTATACTTATGAATAACTGATTACCTGTACCAGTTAAATTGGTTTTATTTATGGTAAATTATTTATATGGTAAATGTTATGTACTGTCAATCTAAAACCAGTAGGCTATATATTTTTAAGTGGTATTAGTTCGTTACCTCTCATTTTATAAAAGTAGGCCCGCATTAATGAGTACTTTGTTACTCATATTCGTTGGTTGTCATATTGATACATAAGTACTTCAGGTGGACTTTTGTCTGCTACTTTCTACTGTTACTTTCTGGGACCGAGCAGGTTTTTACAGCCCTAGGGCCGAAAATCATCTGTTCACTTATTTACTTGAATTCATTTTAAAAATCCCTATATACACAATCAGTATACATGCATTGCAATAATATACTTGTTCTATAGTAACCGCTGCCTTGCAACAATGTATTATTTATTTTTGCTGATTCCTCTAAATATTGCTTTACATAACCTTAAAACTGTTATTGTGTTGGATGTTGGTTTGAATTTATTGTATATATTTTCTCAATTTTGTATAGTGAGGTGAAATATAGCGTTCGTACCATCATACCAAAATATACAGATATTTATTATGTTAATTTAATTTAACTCACTATTAAGATAAAAATACGATTTAAATTTTGATGTTCGTATCGTTTTAAATATTAAAGTTAAAGTTAAAGTACACAATTAATTAAATCGCACCGTTGCGTTCTGAGATGTGGTATATCCTTGTAGCTTGTCTAAAATGTTAATACTATATTTACTTACAAATGTTTTGAAAAAATAAAATCTAAAAAAAGTTGCATGCAAAGAGGCAAGTAAGCAAACAATTAGACCCGTCTTACTGGATATTTTTCGTTCATCTTCACTGTTTATTCGTATATCCTAGAGCTGCCTTGGCAGATGGCAATTTCTGATAAGTGACATTATTAATTATTACTATATTATGCTAATACTATCAGAACAACCTGTAGACTTTTTGTACCCTAAAACACTACAATAGTTCTCCAAAACTCTAATTGGCTCCCGAGGAAATGTAAATGGACTAAGTAACTAAGCCATGTCCCCTATTGCACAGTAATGATAAATTTCAGTAATCTTGAATTTTTCTTAAATTAAAATATTTTTTACCAAAGGAACCAAGGATAACTTCACCAAGTTTTATATTTGTACTCAAAATTACAAAATGGCAAATCAGTTAAATTTTTAACTATTGAATAAAACAAACCGATTAACTACGGTTCGGCCAGGTGAAGTCGGTGGCTAAGTCTTTGCTGCGACGGACTTAGGATCCATGGCAGTGATGTCATGGTTTCGGATCCTGATGCCCGCCACTAGATTTTATCAGTACTCAACTCAAGTACTGTACGGATCACATCTTGCTATTCTATATACGTTCCACACGAAGGCATGAGACTTATGTGGACGAGCACATGCAAAGTTAAAAGGCCTCCAATCTCTCAAAAAATTATCAAGGGATTAAAATGTCCTTAACATTTTCAAAGGAATTAAATAAAACATACACAGTTTATAAACACACATGTATTCATCATTCACACTACGACATTCGTATTTACAAAATATTCACAGCTAACGAAAAACGATAACAACAAAAGAGAACAACAAAGATCAGTCGGTGCGTCTTATGCTAGGGGTAGCGAAGAGGGATGGGAGTTGTACTGTATGGCGAGGTTAGGTACGCTCATGAGACAAGACCATTCTATGTCTGGAGCGATGGCGATGATCGTGGTAGATGATATCGATGATTATGACGACGATGATATCGATGAAGGAAACAGAATGGTGATTTGTTTTATGACTTTGTGGATTATTTCTTCTTGTCGTCTTCCCATCCGTGGCCGCCGCCACCTCCAAAACCACCACCGCCTCCGTATCCACCGCCTCCATGGCCACCGCCTCCGTATCCACCGCCTCCATGGCCACCGCCTCCAAATCCACCACCGCCTCCATAACCTCCACCCCCGTGGCTGCCGCCTCCATATCCACCGCCTCCATGACCACTGTCTCCACCGCCGTAGCTGTATCCACCAATGTCGTTGTGACCACCTCCGAATCCACCGCCTCCGCTGTAGCTATCACCGCCTCCATAGCTGTATCCACCGTCCCCGCCGCCTCCATGACCACCGCCACCTCCGCTGTAGCTGTCACCGCCTCCGTAGCTGTATCCACCTCCACCGCCTCCGCCTCCACCATGGTGGTCGTCGCCGCCTCCATAGCCGCTTCCTCCAAAGCCGCTTCCTCCAAAACTACTGCCACCTCCGTACCCTCCGCCTCCGTGATGGTCATCTCCTCCTCCAAAGCCGCCGCCAAATCCGCCACCTCCTGTAATAAAATTCAATAACGTTGTTGTAAAATATAACGTGTAACCAAAATAACTATTTCAGCTACAAGTAAATATAACAAAACATCTAATCAAAACTATAAAATTATATCAAACATATTTCCATCCGATTCATGACTTTTGTATGAACACGAACCTCTAAGATTAAATGTAATAGGCGTTAAGAGATTGCCGAGAGTTGCGTTGAGTCTTTACACGAGAGAGTGTAAACAAGTGAACGATTATTTTCTCGAGGTGTGCCACTGCAATTTTTACTTTCCCTTAGATTGATAGAAAGGACCGAAACCATCAAACATCTTTATAGTTCGGCTGTGTAAAGTGTATACCATTTCTGTACTCAAAAAGCTTTGTAAGGAAAATTTCAATAACTATTATTATCTTAAGCCTAAAACTGCAAACTCCTATAAGGATTAAAAGAGGATGTATTTGTTTCGAAGTGCCGACTTGATACTTACCAAATGATGAACCATGATTCAGATTCCAATACCGAAGAGAATATTAAAGAGTATTTTATTAACTTCAATGGAGCCGGTGGAGTCTCGATTAAAGTTATTGTCATCTATTTGTTTTAAAATCGGCATGATAGTTTCTTATGTGGCCTAACTATTAACAGTGTAAGATGCTAACCAGCGAAAACTACACAAAAAGTTTCTATTGGAATCTGTAAACAAACCTCCATATCCGCCGCCGCCGCCGCCATGGTGGTCGTCTCCGCCTCCATATCCTCCGCCAAAACCGCCACCTCCACCGCCTCCGTAGCCGCCACCACCGTGGCCGCCACCGCCACCTCCGCTGATGATCTTTATGATGGTAGGGGCACCACCTCCTCCTCCATGGCCGCCACCCCCGTATCCACCGCCGCCCCCTCCATGGCCACCGCCGCCGTATCCGCCACCGCCGCCTCCAAAACCGCCGCCGAAGCCACCTCCGAAACCGCCACCGCCGCCATAGTCGTCACCGTGGTCATCATGCTCCTCGTGATGTTTGTGCTCCTCCACATGGACTATCTCCTTCTGTTCATGGTGTACCTCCTTGACGATCGTGGGGATGTGCACTCGAATGTGGACACTGAACAAAATTAGTTTTAATTAATTAATGCAGACTGTAATCACAAATAGTAAACGACAAGAAATATAGAGTTGGGTTCCATAAATTTGGTTCAGAATGAAGACAATTTTAATAAATCCATGTTCAACTTCGTTGAGCTGGATGTCACTATAATTTTGTTTCTGTTATCTCATAATATTGTTGCCACCCAATTTAGACTAGTCAATAAAAATGCAACTACTCAATATTTTTGAGATAGTAGTAGGTTATGAACACAGTTTTAACCATGCTTGTCATTGTTTTAATCATGCAAAAAAGTAAAAAAGTATCAATAGAACAGGCATAAAATAAGAGTTTTTTGTAAAAGAATACTTACTGTTCTTTGCCGAAAGTAGCTTCGCTGGTAACAAAAAACAGGGCTAACGCCGCACACGATAGCTGAAACAAAGTTTTATTTGTCAATCGATTGTTGAAAACATTTTAAATTTCAAACTACCGTAGCAAAGAATATTCTTTAAGCATTTTAAAATTTATGAAACCAATTCAGATTTTTAATATAGGCAATCGCTATGTTTCCATTCACAAAATAATATTTTTTTCGAACTTTAGTTTCGAACATTTGCAGAATAAACAAAGCATGCTGCCTATTTTACTACGAAGAGAGCAGCTAGTTTCATGAATGAACTTGAATTGAATGGGGAACCAAGGAACTGACTCATCATAGTAAATGCTTCGTCAGTTTTTCCTTCAGATATGAAGAGTAATCGTGACTCTCTAGTCCTACATCTTTTTGTAACTTCTTTCAATGGCTAATGTAGTCCTTTCTCTGTTTCAAATGGCTGCGTCTTAACAGCGCATCAAAATGAGGGTGTGATGTCAGTCAGGATATCTTCAATTTAAATATCTAATTTGACACAATTGTAAAATGATAAGGAAGGTAAAATTAGCTTAGGTAAAATTAGAGACAAAATAATTTCCGTCGAGTGATCCCTGTTTGGATATCATCGTCAATGTGTTATAGAAGCATGGCGACTTTGATTTAAGATCAAATTTCAGCTTTTGTCGCTAGTCACAAACTAAGCTCACCACTACCAAACTAGACCTTCAACTATCAAAGCAGCCCCTCCATTACACATTAGTCAACGATAACTAAGAGCAGACACATACTAAAGGTACCAGAACTTGAATATCGTCGCCATCACAATCTGTACTTTCTCCCAGGCCAAATGGAAGAGTCGAGTTTACTTTACACCGCGAAATCAATAACTCAGGCAAATATTGAAATGTAAATGTGGTGTGAAAGTGAATTCTCCGATGGAGGATGGAGAATGTAAGTTAAGTATCGGTGTGTTCCGGAAATAACTGGTCACGATCAGCTGATTGCAGCCAAGGGTCACTTCCGGCTGACCACCTCCGTCTGTTTCGTAACACCTCAGCCTTTAATTTAACTGTTCGACTCTCCCTGAACGTCACGCAGGTCACATAACATTCGTGTTTTACGCAGCCAGTTATTAGTGTGGAGCTCATCAGGCCTTTCACATCACGAAATTACGTAGTTTTACCAGTTATTTGCGTATCTAAATTAATAAATGGTAGGATTGATTGCATGCTACAATAATTGATTCTGCCTGTTATGTTTATATAGCGGCGAATACAGCTTCCTTTGTCATTACACGAAATTAATATATTTTTATGAAAACTTATTTGAATGATATATTTCTACAAATGTCGTTCATCAAGGATCCTATTTTTTATATTTTATACGTGATCAATGAACGAGTTCGTTAGTTTGTCCAAAAGATCATCTTTTGCAATTGTAGATCATCCTCTGAATCTAAAAAACTTTATTGAGCATCATGAAATAAATTAACGAATCCAACTGAGTGGAATGCTTGACAAAGATACTTTTGAGAAATTCCCAAGTAATCACTCCAAAGAGTTGCTTGAACCACACCACGTAAGAGCAAGTCGCTTCGTCTCGCGATCTTGAACTTGTCTCGTCCTAGACTACTTTCACTTACTCCTAGAGCACCCTCGCCTCGGCAGTGATCTGGTGGTCTAGTTGAAGGTGAAACCAAGGTCTCCCCGCAGCCTTTCAAAGGGCAACCACAATTTCCAAGAAAGTAGAAGTATGAGTTCACGTGAGTAGGAAGTAAAAGTAGTCTTTTACCGGTCAAACGAGTTGTGCAACGGGATGATCTGAGGCACCGGGAGATTCCTTTCGGCAACAAACTTTCGACACTCGTATTACCGACACTCATAACCACGACACTCATAGCTCCGACACTCATAACTCCGACACTTATATCTCCTACACTCATAGCTACGAAACTCAAAACTCCGACACTTATAACATCGATCCACTTAACTTTGTGTAACTCCAACATTAACAACTTCAACTTATAAAAATACAACACTCATAACTCCGACACTTATATCTCCTACACTCATAGCTACGAAACTCAAAACTACGACACTTATAACCACGACACTCATAGCTCAGATACTCATAACTCCGACACTCATAGCTCCGATACTCATATCTCCGACACTTATATCTCCTACACTCATAGCTACGAAACTCAAAACTACGACACTTATAACCACGACACTCATAGCTCCGATACTCATAACTCCGACACTCATAGCTCCGATACTCATAACTCCGACACTTATATCTCCTACACTCATAGCTACGAAACTCAAAACTCCGACACCGATCCACTTAACTTTGTGTAACTCCAACATTAACAACTTCAACTTATAAAAATACAACACTCATAACTCCGACACTTATATCTCCTACACTCATAGCTCCGATACTCAAAACTCCGACACTTATAACCACGACACTCATAGCTCCGATACTCATAACTCCGACACTCATAGCTCCGATACTCATAACTCCGACACTTATATCTCCTACACTCATAGCTACGAAACTCAAAACTCCGACACCGATCCACTTAACTTTGTGTAACTCCAACATTAACAACTTCAACTTATAAAAATACAACACTCATAACTCCGACACTTATATCTCCTACATTCATAGCTCCGATACTCAAAACTCCGACACTTATAACCACGACACTCATAGCTCAGATACTCATAACTCCGACACTCATAGCTCCGATACTCATAACTCCGACACTTATATCTCCTACACTCATAGCTACGAAACTCAAAACTCCGACACCGATCCACTTAACTTTGTGTAACTCCAACATTAACAACTTCAACTTATAAAAATACAACACTCATAACTCCGACACTTGTAACTGCGACACTCATAGCTCCGAAACTCCAAATTCCGATACCTATAACTCTGACACTTATTAAATCAATCCTCTTAACTTTAATAAGTGTAATTTTGACATTTATCACTCCAACATTAACAACTCCAACTCATATAAATCCAACATTCATAACTCCGACAATCATAGCTTCGACGCTCATAACACTGTAATACTCATGACTCCTACCAGCTCTAACCTGCACATCAAACTAGAATTGTCAAAACGATAGTGCCCTACTCATATAGTTGTGCGATCTTTAGAAAACAAGGAATTTTATCACTGAGATCGTAATTAATTGGTGCAATCATCTCAAAATCCTTTTTTTATTCGTTGTTTATAGTTCACCAGGAAACGCATGTACGAAAATTATTTGTTGGCGAACAGACAATGTTGTGTAAGCTTATCGGGTTGTAAACTTTTTTCATGATTTAGAAAATCTATGAAAAAAGTTCACTAAACATTTGGGAATGCGTAACCTTGAGAACTTATCCGAAAACAACGAAATAGCTATCCGTAGCTATTTAGCTACGAACGAGAGCTATGTAGCTATGTAGAGACTTCTGGCTCAGACTGTACCGTTGGAGGTTATGAAATTTGGACATTATGAACCGCACTGTTTATTTGGTATCTTAACGTTGGAGTTTGTAAAATTTGGACATTGTGAAACAGTGATTATTTGAATGTTATAGATTTGGAGCTTATGAAAATTGGAGGTTATGAACCGCTCTGTTTATTTAATATTTTAAGCGTTGGAGTTTGTGAAATTTGGAGTTTATGAAACGCTCCCAGTAGAACGTGTAGCGCCTACATACCGAACCACGGCAACCTCTGCAGCGACTTCTGGCAGAGAGTGTGCCGTTGGAGCTTATGAAACTTGGAGGTTATGAACCGCTCTGTTTATTTTATATTTAAACGTTGGAGTTTGTGAAATTTGGACATTGTGAATCGGTGATTATTTGAAAGTTATAGTTTTGGAGTTTATAAAATTTGGAGGTTATGAAACGCACTGTTTATTTAATATTTTAGACGTTGGAGTTTGTGAAATTTGGACATTATGAACCTCACCCGTTCTACTGTTGTAGCGGTGTAACACGAAGTATCATTGTTGCTCCGTAATTGCTTTCTTAAGAGTATAAGTATATATTCTTAAGAGTTCCCATAGTCCGATCATGCTGGTTCGCGAAGTCGTTCGAATAAACGTAGGTTTACACGTTTGTACCAAATTTCATCAAAATCGGATGATTTTTGCTCGAGTTATCGCGCTAACGGACACACATATAAATATATATATATAACTGATGGTGTTTTTTGTCTCTAGGGACCTCAAAACGAAAAAGTAAATCGGTCCCGGGACCAGGTCTTACCATGAATACTACGGTAATAGCTTATTCCCTATAGGGGAAATTCGCTAAAATGTAAATTTGATTTGCACATTGTGTGCTAACACATATTTGAGTCACACATCTGAGTGTTCTTCAATCATTAAAATGTACGTATACTCAGTAGTTGAGCGCTGGCGAACGGTGCCTGCTATCTGACTGTGGCAACCACTAGAGAGACTTCTGGCCCAGACTGTACCGTTGGAGGTTATGAAATTTGGACATTATGAACCGCTCTGTTTATTTAATATTTAAACGTTGGAGTTTGTGAAACTTGGACATTGTGAAACAGTGATTATTTGAATGTTATAGATTTGGAGCTTATGAAATTTGGAGGTTATGAACCGCTCTGTTTATTTATTATTTTAAGCGTTGGAGTTTGTGAAATTTGGAGTTTATGAAACGCTCCCGTCCTGTTTCATGCGCAATATTAAGCATACACAATAATTTCTAAACACAACTCCATAAAAAATAGGTCCATAATAACCTAACACATATTAGTTCTAAATTACGACGAGGTGATTTAAACGAAAATAACAATGCATGCAAAAAGTGTCCCTTTCACTCAAACCCCAACGACACAATCGAATTTATCAATGGATTTACGATGTTTGATATTTCCGGAAGAGTTTAGAGGAAAGTGTCAGAACTTTGATGATATATGTGTGACCATATACATCTACGTATTCTAATTATTTAGGTAGAAAGTGGAAGATTGTGCATCGCCGTCTCCGTTGCAGCAGCCTGCAGATTGCACTTTCTCTGCTCCAAGACGCATGGGTAAATCTCGTAACTAATAATTACGTTATAAATTAGTTTTATCGCACCAAGCACTCGGCTCGATAAGATAAGGTTTTTACAACGGCGAAATTCGGGTATTTACACCTTTATTTGTCTAAACCCGATATTTGTATCATGACGTTGTCACATAGGGTGTCATCCCAGGAACTTTGTGGTGGTTTCGGAATAGTTGGGAAACCATATTGAAGTTTTTTTTTCAGACGTCATATTGGTTCAGGGAGAAGAACAACTAACAATGAGAGAAATTCACTTAATAAAAATTACAAACGACACAGAGTTTTAATTCAAGTCTCGGTTGAGTTCACGTTACTCGTGCAAGTGACATCATAGTAAATAAACATTTAACCTTCTTTCTGTGGCTAGGGTGTAAATGTACTAGCTGGTACGTATGAGTGGATAACATTTTTTAGTTTATTTCAAATAACATCTATTGATTTTTTTATTCATCATGAATGTGTTTTGTAATTTAGCTGATATGAAATAATTTATTTGTAGGTAAAAAATTTTAATGTTAAGAATAACTATTTTCACAAAGGCATAATGTTTTAGCTGAACCATATAGGCTATACATAGTTAAAATGTGTAGCAGAATAGTTGATAGTGTTATTCAACATCTACAAACACAATTACAGTAAAGGTCTATCCGATTTTGTCATGGTTTAGCCGTATTCCTTTTTTATGTATGTTTTAAACAGATTCAATTTTTTAAACGTATAGCAAATATTCATAAAACTCAAAATCGTCTGTAAGTACAAAGAAATATACAATCGCTCAAAATAGATCTTTTCATGATTTAAATTATTTCAAATTAGGTAGAATATTTTAGAATTTTATTCGTAACTGAAACAACAGAAAAGAAATACACCGGCAATTTACACCCTGAAATAAAATTACTGCTTTATATATACCACGCATATTTAATTTATATTTAGAAATATAATTTTAATAAAAGTTTGCATATACTTTTCATTTAGTATTTGTCAAACCTAGTATATGATTTCAAGGTGATTCACTATTTTATATATCCTTTAAGTTTTATGTAATTTATAACTTTAAGTGTGTACGATAACCTAAAAAGTGTATCATGAGGCTGTATGTATATTTATGTGTATAGATAATAGGTTTAACTTAGATCATCTAATATTTTCAGCATTTTTAACAACATTAGTTTTGTAAAAGGGTCCCAACCAACAATAAATTCGCTTCTCTAAAATCAGGATGCAACTGTAAACTAGCCGCTAACCCAGGTTTAAGTTCCCTACCAAATAATCGAGTGAGTTTTTAAAGTTGATAGCATTTCACTATATCCAATAGCGAGCACTGGACTTACCTGTAGAAGGGAGCCCATGCTGCGACGGGTCCTTGTTTGGGTCTGAGTAGAACTCTCGCGCCTGGTTTATATATATCTCTGCGCCGGCGTGAACCTGTCCCTGCCCCTGCCCCTGTCTCTGTACTTGCACATGACCTACGCACCTACGCACGCGCACACACCAGCACGCCTCAGAGGTGGGATATGATCCTATGAACTCCTTCCTAGTATTGTCCTTAGCATACGGTGAAGAACGTTGTATATATTTTTAACAAATCGCATTTTGATTAGCAGTGTCCGCGTTGGCGCTATTACTGTTTATGATAAAATTAAAATAGATAATAAACTTGGGTAACAGATTTTGCAGTCTTAAATGGAAAAATCTTTAGGTTAGGTTGGTTAGATAGTTGTATAAACGTAGATAATAGTTAGTCACTATAATAATGTTAAAAAATCGTGGTAGAACTTGTTAAGAAAACTTCATGTCTTTTCCAACCATCTTGTGGTGAGGATATTTTTACTTATTCAATTTTGTATTTTTATATAATTTCATAAATTAATTTACTTATGCAATTTTAAGATAAATCATTATAACTGGGAAAATCCTTGTCTCCACCTTCTTGGGAGGAAACCTAAATTATTAATTTGAATGAAATAGATGCAATAGTATTAACGCGTAAAATGTATACTCGTATACAATAAAACGGGAAGGGGGTTTTGGCAGATTTTCACGAGTAAGGTGTTTTTTTTTATATTTTATATTTCTTGACTTCGTATCGATAATGATCTCGAGACAGCAAAACCAGGTCATTTTAGGTCCCTCCTCGGCCCTAGGTCCTAGGTACCAGGTACAAAGTATACTATTTCGTCAGACTGCAGCAAAATCATTAACAAGCCGTTTTTAATGCATGCGTTGCAGGTCTAAATTCGATTTTTTACCCGCTGCCCCTAGGGAGTAAAAATCAGCTGTTGTCCACTTAGTTGTAAATATCGAGTGTAAACAATTATTGCATGTATCGAAAATATGTTTCGATTATTTAGCCAATTGTAGTTAATTAACTTTTGCCTTATTTTTAAGTAACCCATAGTTACCTACGTACTAAGCAGCTGCTTGTTTGCATTAGCAAATTAAATAGAAAACAATGTAGAAGTAGATTTGAGAGGTTATCTTCAAATTAAAACTTTTTCAGATTTGTAATGTATTTTGTTCAAATAATGGTGCAATATGAAAGAAATAGTTAAATTGCAGTACAATAATTAGCATAGTTGTATTAATAATTTTGCCTTAGAACTATGTTTTGAGAACCTTCAAAATGTGAAATTTGCACACGTGTCCCCTGGTTAATACAAAATTTCAAGTAAAATTTGATTCATTCGTTGATCCAATAAATTGTTTAAATATTTTAGCTTTTAACAACGAATATATGGTATGTTTCATTGCGATTAAAATTATAATATTTATACGATACAAAATACTATTATTGAGCTGTTAATTCTGATTAAATTTCCACCAACCATAATGTAACCTCGGGTTTCCTTTTTTACTTAATCTCCATTAGGTTCGACCCCCAGATAAAATTTTAACTCAATGCTTAATAGGTACGTCTATAAAACGTATTTACTCCACATAGCAAAAACTAACATAGACCTCTTAGAAATTGCCTACTCAACCCGACTACTACCCCCCAAAACCACTACCAAAACCGCTCACTTACTTACTAATTGCTTACTGCCGTTCTCCTCCTCCGCAGATTGGGGGAGGCGTCATCTTTTCCTTTTTCTCATTTTCTTGTTTTTCTGGTATTGTTGTAGAGTTTCTGGTTTCTAGTGGCTTCTATTAAATATATGTTTATTCAGGAATTCGTTTAGGCTGTAATAGGGGCGTTCGAGGATATGGGTTTTTTTTTTAAGTAGGGTAGAGCTTTTTCTTGTGTCTGTAATATTTTTAGGCCGATTTAGTAGTAGGTTGTTAAGTTTCATCCCTCTATATGTTGGGGTTCTTGCAGTATTTTCTAGTGGATGCTATGGTAAATTTAGGTTATTTATTTGGCTCACCTACCAATTACGTCAAGCTTTAACTTCGTAAATCATAATCGACGATTACATAGTGAAATAATTAGAACACACGAGTGACAGTGGCTAGAGCAACTATCTTGCAACTCATTCTAACATTGTTGAGGAGTGACCAATGAGGATCTAGCAAGTACTCCCTCGCACGAAGGAATCCTGCCGAAGGAAAAACTGGACCTGACCTTGATGGAAACCCTGCCTGAGAATGTAGACTATAGGATCAGTCAGCCGTCAGTATCAACTTTGCTTTTTACTACTTCTGGTTTGTTTTTGCTCAGGTTTAGTTTCCGCTGCATCGAGTGCAATGCTCTCTTCTACACGGGGTTGTTTTTTGCTACTGCATACAGTTGCTGAACCTGGTCAGTTGTTATTTATACCAGTGATATCCTCGCCGATGTTAACAAATTGGAATTTTTTTTGGTAGCAAATCTTGCCAAGTATTAATCATTATTGTTGTCATTACTGCAGCAGTCCCCTTGCTGGACCTAACAAATTTCCGTTTAGTGCAGCAGTGTTCTTGTGGAATCTAATAAAATGGCATTAATTGTATCAATATCCTAACTAAAATAATGACATTTTTTAAATGACGTGTTTCCTCAACTCCCAATCCTGTCTATAAGAGACTACAATGTCACTCAGCCAGAAGGACGGTGTCTGTGACAATTACAGTACGTGCAGATCCTACAGAGAACCCTGATGGACACCTGTTTCTTTGTAACGATGTGTAGTGTTAAACGGTGTAGTAACTGCTCTTGAGTCGTTCTACAACTCATTCATTAGTAGTGTAGTCAGCTGGTGATTGGTTAAATGCTCGCCTAACAATCAGAATGTCACCGGATCGAACCATCGAACCTGAAAAAGTCAGTATAGTTAGGTTAATCAAGTCATTAACTGTTTACGTAGACCGTATGCCATATTGTTGCAGTGTATTTATTCTGGAAGCCTACTCGTCCACTTCGACTTTGAGTCAACTCATGGACACGATCTTCTTCTATTAAACTGTAAGGGTGTAATTGAGCTTTCTTGCGCCCTATTTGAGTTTTATCGGTTGGCAATCAAACCACGCCCACCAAACCACAAACTATTGTAGAGTTGTTTGGGATGTCAGCATGTTTTGCCTTCATTATTGTTAGAACTTAAAATAAAGTTTTCAAATTTCAATAGTTACGGAAAATAAAGAAAAACTTTATCCAAGAAATTTGCTTGCAACTTATTCAAACCAAACTTCTTGACCTAACTGAGTTTTACATTGTTAAAATTGAACATCACACAACACGCCTACGAAATTCAAATTTATCTTATCTTACTAATATTATAAACTAGCTGGCCCGACAGACGTCGTCCTGTCCTAATGTGGATTTATGTCAAAAGCTCGTTCATTTTCAAGATGAGCTCGTTCGCATGGCCCAATCACGTCCTGGTTGAAGTTCGTTCGCTACGCTCAATCACCTTTTGGTTGGAGCTCGTTCGCTTTGTTTGTGTGTTTGAAGTTCAATCACGCATTAAACCACTGGACGGATTGGGCTGAAATTTGGCATGATGATAGCTTACATTCCCGATTAGCATATAGGCATATTCTTATCTTAAAAAATCCCTTTGGGCTCCGCCACAGTGGCTCTGTAATTCCCCATGTTAACCTTATGAGTATTCATATTTAAAGGGAATTAAAGAATTAGTTCGGCCGCTTAGAAAACGACCTGCGCGCTAATGCTAAACCAATGCTGGAGGAGGTCGCTTTCTACGTGGCGGAACTATAGTCAGCTGTTTCAACTAAAAAAGTTGGTTCTATGATATGGAAAAGCATTAAAAAGTTATAAGATTTACCAACAGGGTGCAGCACTATATTTTTTTGCATTTATGAAAACAGCTAATCTATATATTTAATACACAGTTGTAACACTGTTTCCTCAGTAATTACTGGACCGATCTACAAGATTTATGTCTCAAATTAAAGGGGATAGTGTGTAGATTTGCCGAACTTCCTTAGAATTTACGTTTTTTCTAAGGGCTACGACCTACAGCCCTTTAAAGGTCGAGTCAATACAATTCTTATTGAAGAATATAATACACAGTTTATAAATTATTCGTCAGCTGTTTAATGTTTGTCAGACATTTGTTATTATTTTTATAACCTCACTTTCAGTATGCAATTATTAAACTTGGAGTTTCTGTTTATAAACTCACGATTTTGATAAAGGAAAGTGTATTTGTTAACTTATTTTTGAAATGTTTTAGTTTTCCTGCAAAGTGATCTGAAGGAAAGTGGTAATTGAGTTTAAGTTTGAGTATGGAATGTGAAATAATACCATAGATAAAAACATACTCCACTTAGTCTATGATAATACCCATAGTAGGGAACGGAAACTTATTGTTTTGATCAATATAATTTATTCTCTACGGCCACCAGAATAATCATGGGGAAATCCGCTTTGCAAGTTGGACATATAATTGCTAATGAGTGGGAAACATACAAACATTTTATAGTAGGTGACGAATCTTACTCAAGATCAGTGTTAGACGTTCAGTGGTACCAAACTTTACCTTCTCGAGATGGCGAGTACGCTGGGATACGTGGAACTACAATATGTCAGTGATTTTTTTTTCAAGTACACAGGGAAGTTGCTTGAGAAACTGTGACTTACCATTCGGTTCTGGCGAAGAAGTATGTGACTTGATGTTTAATGGCAATGTTGACTCGGGTCATTATAGCGTTATAAAACTTTATCATTAACCCCAGGGTGTGAAAAGTACAAAAAGAAAAAGAAAAGGTAATCATTAACCGGGTGTAAAGAGACATACCGAACGAAAATTAAATTTAGAGAACCATCGAACTAAAAAGGTATAGAGCAGTGATGGTGTTAAATGTGCTCTGGAAGTCCCTTCCAAAAAATACCAATTTTTTGAACTGGGGTCGTTAGATTGGATTTTTCAATACTGCAAATCTATGGATTTTGAGTCAGAACAGAACTGGGACACAAATA